AGCACTGAACATGTTACCTAGCTGGGAAATGAAACATTTGCAAGAAAACAACCAAGCTCAGAGAACCCCAAGGACTCCACTTTGTTCAGTGTGACCAAGAACTTTGAGGGGAAGGAGGAGACAAATAAAGCAAGTTTTTGGTGGGTTCCTTCACACATAAAATCAGGCCTATTTATTCTATTACAGACACCAGTAGGGCAAAGAGGCATGCAAGGTGAGTAGGGTGATGTCTTATAATATGAGCTTGGTTTCTTTGGAGTATTGCAAGGGAATAGAGTGGGGACCAACAAATATTTGGGATATTTCTATATTTAAAGAACTGCCCTCCAAGTCTGTCAAAGATACCTTATGTGTATAATTATATAATTTGGTGAAATATATCCCATAAGGATGGATTCTTGCTCAGCTTGGCACTTTTGGGCAACTGAGTGTGTGTCTATACAGCTGGATCTGGAGTTGGTTACTATCTCTTGAGGAAAAGTGAGATCCTACCTGTTTTGAAAGAGGCAGATGTGCACTTTCTTCTGAAGAAGTTCTCTCTTAGCCTGAATGTCTTGAACAATTTTGCTAAATCTTGGACTTCTATTTTTGGGGGAAGATTTTCAGAAGGTAATGGGGTCAAACTGCAGGACATCCATGGGAAGGAGCCAAGTTGGTGACAATTTAAAGCAAAGTTCAACTGAAATTTAAAAAAATAAAAATAAAAGGCTATAATGGAGAAGATCTCCACAGCAACTGTATATTTTCCCTTTGTGCTCAGGTACATTGGAACAAAGAGTAACCAAACACTGCAAAAGACCAACATGCTGAAAGTGATAAACTTGGCTTCATTGAAAGCATCCAGCAATTTCCTTGTTAGGAAAGCCACCATGAAGCTAAGAATTGCAAAAATCCCATAAAGTTCAAGACACACTACAACATGAAGGCAGATCCTTCATTACACACCAGAACTACTTTTTCTGCCATTTAATTCAGGCCAGCATCTGGGAATGGGAGAGAGATTGTCAGCCATATAGTGCAAATAATTCCTTAAATTAAGGAGAAGCCCAACACAATAGACATGGCTAATCTTTTCCCCACCCATTTGGTCTTCTTAGAGCCTGGTTTTGTGGCCAGAAAAGCCAGAATCACAATGATGGTTTTAGCCAACACACAACAAACAGCCACCACAAAAATGAGACCAAATGCAGTCTGACGAAGGATATACATCACCTTCTCAGGTTGCCCAAGGAATAACAAAGCACAAAGAAAAGTTAATAGGAGGGCAACCAGGAGACTATAGGTGAGGTTCTGGTTGTTGGCTTTGACTATGGAAGTATCATGATGATTAATAATGGTCCAAAGGACTCCAGTTGTGACCCAAGAAAAGAAAGGAGCTGAACTGGCTAAAATAGCCCCCAAGGTTTCTTCATACATTAAGAATATTATAACTTTGGAGAGACAGCAATCCTGATTCTCATTTGGATATTGATCTTCTGGACATTGAAAACAGTCATCCATGTCTAGAAAATAAAGTAATATTTAAGAAATTGCAATAAAAAATCAAAATACAATGTTTTAATATTCAAGAAGACGATTGCAATTTAATATCTCAAAGTTAAATACGTTAGGAGAGTTCCCATAAACCTGGTGTGATGGAATGGAATTATGAAGGCCACACTCAGGGAGAGAAAGATCCTCTTTTGTCTCCTGAGGGGCAAGGAAGAGATAAGAGGATGAGGCAGGCACCTCCCTGAGGAATTCACTCTGTTTTCACTGGCTGACTGTGGGAACTAAGTTTCAGTCTGGGAAGATTGATGTCAGGCCTAGCCCAAGGAACTCCAGGAGACCATGCAGATTGAGTTCAGCAG